TCATAATATAAAATGAATGTGTCTTTTCAGAAGACTTTGATATGAAGTACTTTTATGATATCTTTATGCACTTTTTGAAGCATGAACATTTAAATCATAGACTTTTCTGATGGGTCTTATGGGTTTTGGAACAACTTGAGGGTGAGTAAATGATGAAAGATTTTTCATTTCTGGGTGAATCATCTCTTGTGTTTAACACAATTTAGATTCAACAGTATTGATGGATGACTGACAATAATTGGCAAAAAAGTCATATTCTATCTATTAACATATAAGGAATGCAACTCTCTTATTAAAAATAAAGGTGCTTCACGATGCCATAGAAGAACCTTTTTGTCTAAATGGTTCCATAAAGAACCTTTAACATCTGAAGAACCTTTCTGTTTCACAAAAGCTTCTTTGTGGCGAAAGAAGGTTCTTCAGATTATAAAAAGGAAAGAAAGAGATGGTTCTTTAAAGAACCTTTGACTGAATGGTTCTTTGTGGAACCAAAAATGGTTCTTCTATGGCATCGCTGTGAAGAACCTTTTAAGCACCTTTATTTTTAAGAGTGTAGACGTCTACATTTTGTGCAAACTGATCTGAATTGTGAATCATTTAATGTCAGTTGGTTATGCACCTATATGACAGCAGCTCTCAACTATATTTTATTATTATCTGCCTTTGACCAGAACTCAAACAACCCCACATACCACAGGATCTATGAGCACATCAAGAAAGCCCAGAGCTATTCACTCAATGCAGAAGAAGGTTTCCGCAAGACTCAGAAAGGCAACTATGCTTTCATCGGTGAATCTGTGTCCCTCGACCTGGCAGTGGCGCGATACTGTAACCTCACACGCGCTCCAGAAATCATCGGCATGAGGGGGTACAGCATCGCCGCGCCTTTAGGTAAGTCTCAAAAGTTCTCATTTTTAGACACAGTACCATGATGATGTATGGTTTTATGTCCCATTTTAATAATACTGACTACCATTGATGTACCATGTAAACACTATGGTACATGAATATTGCAATCAGTCAGTATTAGCAGTGCTTCCTGAAAGGTCTCACTATGCATGTGTTTGTTAATGTCCTCAGGCTCTCCTTTGGTGAAAAACCTAAGTGTTGCCATTCTGGGTCTGAGCGAGTCTGGTGAGCTGGATTATTTCCGCAGTAAGTGGTGGGCTAGCAGTTGTGTGGCAAAAAATGGCAAGAGTGCTCCCCTGAAGCCCACCAGTCTGAAGGGAATCTTCTTATTACTGGCACTCGGTCTGGGACTGGGGCTTTTCTTGGCTCTGATGGAACTGGCTGCCAAATCACGCAAAATTGCTAACACTCAGCAGGTGGGTCCAATATATTGACGTAGGGTCCATTTCCTATCAACAGTATGTGACAGGTCAAAAGTTTGGAATAATTACATTTGGTTACACTTTATTTTAAGGTGTACTTGTTACAATGTAATTATACATTTAAGTACTGAGTAATATTAATTAGTTACATGTACTTACTATATGGTAAGGGTTAGGATTAGGGTTTGGCTTAGGGTTACTTGCATGTAATTATGCATAATTTATTGTTATTATAATAGTAAGTGCATGTAACGTGTAACAAGGACACCTTAAAATAAAGCGTTACCTTAAATTTACAATAACCGTTTTGTAATTTAATATATTTTAAAATGTAATTTATTGCTGTGATCAAAGCTGAATTTTCAGCATCATTACTCCTGTCTTCAGTGTCACATGATCCTTCAGAAATCACTCCAATATGCTGATTTGCTGCTTAAGAAACATTTATTATTACCATCAAAGTTGAAAACCGTTTTTGCTCTTTAATATTTTGTGGAAACTGTGTTACTCAACCATTCATACGTTTTGGGTCAGTAAGATAAAAAAAAATCATACTTTCATTCAGCAAGGATGGACTAAATTGATCAAAATGTGACAGTAAAGACATAATGACACAAAAATGCTGTTCTTTTGAACTTCCTTTAGCAAAGTGTCACTGTTTTCACAACAACAAAAAAGAAATATTAAGCAGCAAAAACTGTTTTTGTTTTTTGTTTTGTTTTGTTTTGTTTTGTTTTGTTTTGTTTTGTTTTTTGTTTTGTTTTGTTTTGGGGGGGGGCTTGTTTTTTTAAGAAATTGATACTTTTGCTGATTGACTAAACACATTTAATGTTACAAAACAATTGCATTTTTAAAAAAAATACTGTTCTTTCAAACTTTCTGTTCACCCAAACATTCTTAAATTGTAATAATTTTTCACAATATGACTTTTTTTTATATTTATACAATATATTTTGATAAATAAATGCAGCATTGGTGCACATTAAAATTAAAAACTTTAAAAAAAAAACAATACTGAACAGTAGTGTACTTTTTTTGGACCATGGTATTAAATTGACCTGAGGCTATGGTACACAGACAGATTTTGAAAGTGAAAATGACCTCGTTTCTTACAGAAATCCTGCTGCTCTGTGATGTCTGCTGAACTCAGTCAGCGCTTCAGAGGTGGAGAGGCGATGACACCGGAGTCCTCTGAGAAAAGCAAAGCCTAAAAAGCAAAGCCCCAACAAAGCACTGACACACATGCATTTAATCACTTAATGTGTATTACATCCACAACAAAGTTACTCACTACTAACCAAACTGGGTGGGTGAAACTCATGAAAGCATTTCATTTGTTGTGCACACTTCAAAATTGAAAAATTCTATATTGCTTAAAGAGAATTAAGCCAAATATAAGGACTATTACAAATTTTTTTTTGAATTCGAGAACACTTTAATGTCAAATTACAACACATTGCAATATAATTTCTTATGGCAGTCATTTCTGGATGTAATATGACCCGTGTTTCATGAGATTCAACCAGGTAACAGTCCAGCATTTTATCTATAGACAAAATGTGGCTCTATTAATTTTATTAAGCATGTCTAAGAATTAGTTTTATTTAAGTTAAGGGTTCATCATTAATAATATAGCTTGTTATATTCTTTCATTACAAGATCAGTTACATAGTTATAGGGTAGCAGACTTCCCAAAAGTTTGAAAACGCCCAAAATTCTGACCGAACATATTCATCCTGCTTATATCTAAATTACTGAGATCAGCCCTATTGCTGTTTTAATAGCAGAACGATGTTTGCCATGATGAGTAAAACTGTGATATTACTAAAAATGTAAGAGAAGATTGCATACACATATGATTGTACATTTTCTTTTATTTCTATTATAATAAAATGATGCATGCAAGATATATTCACAGTACCCAGAAAATATTCAAATTCTTATTGTATGTGCCATTGTTTTAGCTTAGAGAATGTTCTTAACAAAAATAAAAATCTGAAATATGCTGTTTGCATATTTAATTCTTGTTTTCAGTATTGATTTTTTTGTGTATTAATAATTGCACAATTCATTACCAGTGTTTTGGACTAAGTAGTCTATGCACTGTATGTATCTGTTCTGCTCCAGGTTTTCTAGGTTAGGCAGAGCACACTTCAAAACGTGCCACAGATTCTCTATGAGATCAGATTTTGACCTGGCCATTGCTTTTCACCTTGATGTTCACCTGTTTTGTTTTTGAGCCACTATAGTGTTTATTCAGTATTTGGGATCAACTTCTTTGCAAGCTTCCGTTCTGTAGCCGAGTTAAACAGGCTCTCTTGCAGTATTTCACTACATTTTGCATCATCCATTCTTCATTTCTAAGAAGAAAGTGAAAGTCCAGTCCCTGAAGAAGAACAGCATGATGCTAGCACTGCAGTACTGCGCGGCCACTGGGCTGCAAGATTCACGGCACACACAACGCTTTGAATTTGAAGTAAAAAGTCCTATCTTGGTCTCATCCCACCACAAAATCTTTTCCCACGCTGAACTAAATCACTGTTTTCTTGGCAAATTCTCATGGCTCTTCTTTTTGAGTAATGGCATCTTTGTGCCAGCCTCTGTTGTTTACAGCTCTTCGTTAGGTCGAGTGGGTCACCTTTACTCTGTTCTTAGCTATTGAATCCTGCAGCTCTTTCAAGTGAACGATGGCCTCTCTGGGGCTTCTCCCACAAATCTCTTGGTTCAAGCAGAGAGAGAGCTGAGAGACGGCATTTTTAGGCCAACAGTGCCCACACAAGGACATTACAGCTCTTAGATATTGTGCTGCACCAAATTTATGTATCAGTTTCATGTTAACGCTAACTCTTGGAAAGCTCTTTGGTCATGATTTGCATGGTAGTTTTTTTTTTTTTATGTATATAGAAGGCCTGCTATATGCTTGATAAGGGTTTTCACTATACAACAGCTTCTGTTATGCTGGGATTATACACCAGAAGTGCAACATAATTTACCCTTTTGGATAAGAATAATTTCAAGTTGCATTATTGAATTATTTTAATTAATAATTTCTATCATAGAGTCACATTAAAATATTTTGAGAATTACTATAATTATTATTAGAATTTTTAATGTGAGATTTATTTATTTTTAAAAAGATTTAAAAGTAAAATAAGGTTTGTTTAAATTATTTGAATTATTATTTTCAGCAAAATGTAATAAAGGTTGGTGACAATAAGCTGAAAATGAATTTAACTTAGCAACAAACACCTTTTACTCTTTTTATCTATATAATTTTAATGTAAACTTTATTTAAACATTTTATTTAAACCGCAAAGATTGGTGACAATAAGCTGAAAATGAATTTAACTTAGCAACAAACACATTTTACTCTTTTTATCTATATAATTTTAATGTAAACTTTATTTAAACATTTTATTTAAACCGCAAAGACGGAATTTTTTGAGAAATTTGGCGAGAAACGCTATTTTATAGGACTTTTAAATGTAGTACTATTTATATTTTGTTATTGTATATAAATATTCTATACATTTATGTTATATAACATAATCAGAGCTGTAATTTACTATAATTTGATTTACTCTACATGTATGTTTAAAACAAATTAAAGTGCTTATATTTTATAAGTTGTGGAGTGAATGCGGCTAGACGGAAAGCGGAAGCAGGAGTTCGTCAGCGCTTCCGGTGTGGCTGATGATGGTCGGTCGGTGTTCCTCAGCACTCATGACTGTCGCTTTGTGCTGTTCTCATGCTTATGGACTGTGTTTTTACCTGCAAATACGTTTAGGAAATCGAAAGGTCACAGATGAGAGTTTTCTTTGAGGGTCTACCTGTAAGTACCCGCGTGCGATGTTGCGCGATCATGAATCGAAATGATAATGTTCATAACAGTGCGGTTTGTTGTGAGCGGCCCGTCAGCACAGGCCGAGCAGACATGAGATCAGCTGATGATCTCCGACAATCATCCGCACATAACGCTACTCCTCATCGTCTGTAGTAATGCGACGATGAGCTGAGGAAGGCGCTGCAGTGTTTGACAATATAACGCTCAGCTGATTGAGCTGGAAAACGCAGAGCGGTTAGCATGAGGATATCACCTGATATTATTATTAATAATATTACTAGTGCTATTAACTGCTGAACCTACATGAGATATGTTATGTAGAAGGCATGATTCCTAAGTTATAATATAATTATAACTAATGAGTGTAATGTTGTCATTGACTTTACCTCCCGTCATCCAGGTTCAGTAGCAGCTCGGCTAACTGTTAGCACTGACAAAACACAAATAACCGGTCAAACATGTCATTCCTTCATCAGCTGATTCCGACTCCAGTCATCCTAAACGTAAGATGGTAACCCACACAAAGCTCGTAAAGGTGGGTTTAAAGCACGTAATTCCTCAGTAAATATGTATTAGCCGGTAGTGAAGGCTGTTTATCTGCGCTAATGGAGCTAAGGGCGTGCAATGTTTATGGCAATCAAAGAAACGTTCAGAACGCCGGTTACTATCGAATAGAAAACATCTGTGAGCCTAGACCACAAAACCAGTCATAAGGGTCAATTTTGTGAAATTGAGATTTACACATCATCTGAAAGCTGAATAAATAAGCTTTCCATTGATGTATGGTTTGTTAGGATAATAGGACAATATTTGGCTGAGACTGATACAAGTTTGAACATCTGGAATCTGAGGGTGAAGAAAATCGCCTTTAAAGTTGTCCGAATGAAGTTCTTAGCAATGCATATTACTAATCAAAAATTAAGTTTTGATATTTACAGTAGGGTCTTTACAAAATATCTTCATGGAACATGATCTTTAATTAATATCCTAATGATTTTTGGCATAAAAGATGATAAATCGATAATTTTGACCCATACAATGTATTGTTGGCTATTGCTACAAATATACCCCAGCGACTTAAGACTGCTTTTGTGCTCCAGGGTCACATTTGATGGCCAAATCGAATTGCATGTAAGGAACATGATTCCCAAAGTGAATGAAACTGTAACATCATCATTTCATGAATTGAAAAATGAACTACGGCAGGGGTTCCCAGACTTTTTTGACAGCTGAAACCCTTGAACGTAAAATATTTCCTTGAAGTTCCCCTTGAAGTTTTAGGTTTAACTCTTTCCCCGCCGGCATTTTTGAAAACACTCGTCTTTGGCGGGGAAGCGTTTTCTTTTAAAAGACGAGATAACTCGTCAATGGCGGGGAAAGAGTTAATATTTCAGTATTTCAGCAGCACATTTGCATGATCACGGTTTTCTAATGTTGGTTAATGGTCTCATGAGATACAGGTAAACAGATAAAGTTTGAAATCAACTGAAAATACCTTGCTCTGACAAATCTTAAAATATGACATATTAAAGATATGACATATCTAAGACATTTTTGTAAAAGTTGCTTAAATATCTTAATTTAACTAAGGCCTAGTCCTGGCTTAAGCTAAGCCCCGTTTGTGAAACCGGGCCATAATATTTCATTAGTTATCTTATAAGCGTTTTAATTGTGATTTGGTTTTTATCTATACAACCAATGTCAGTTCTGGGACGACTAAACTTGTTCAACAAAAAAAACAACAGCCTGACAAATGCTCATGGCAAACCCAGGTTCACAGTCGCACTGAGTTTATATTTAATAATATTGGGACCAGCTATTATTAGATTATGTATTCAATACAAATTAAGAGCCGCTAGCTGTACAAATCGTATCCTCGTATGTGCCTTTAGTGTTAAGATAACAATTCAACAATAAATGCTCAATGTATTAAGTTTTCAGTGAGCAACACTGTATTTCTAACTTAAGAATAGAGATTTACAGTCATGTTGCAAACATTGTGTATTTCGTCCTTTGCGAGCAGCTTTGAAACTGTTCAAATCATCCAGACGCTGTTAAAGTTTCATTTTCCAAAGATGTTGTTTTGATTTTAATTGTATAGCTTTTTGTTTAGTGTCAATCAAATATTGTATTGTTAAAGGGGCCATAACGTACATTTATGTAGCATTTTTTCCACTTTTTTTTTAAATGTAGTTTTTCTTGTCAGTTTTGGATAGGAGTTCAAGTTTGTTTACAGATTTTTATTTACATGAGAGGGTATTGCAGATAGCATTTCACTTTTAAAGAGTGTTTTCTCAACATTGCATATCTAGTCTAATCAAACGCATTTTAATTATTTGAATTATCAGTCAGGGTTTTGTCATTCAAACACATTAAATTTCACATATTATAATTTCTTATTTACATGTAATGCGGGAATTCCCAAAATCTTTTGTCAGCAAAATCTCTTTTAATTATTATATTTAACTGAAGTATTCCCTAAAATGTTAAGTTAATAATTAAGTCAATAGTTCAGCAACACATTTGCATGTTTACAGTTCTATGATATCAATTAATAGTCTGACCTTTTTAAAGTGTTTTATTTGGATTTGTTTTTATTTTTAAATTATTTAATTTAGTTTTACTTTTTTTATTTAATTATTAGCTATTATCAACCTACAAACTCTGGGAAATCTTGACGTAACATTTAATGCACTTTGTATAATTGTTTTAATATGGTACAAGATCATCCTATTCAAATCAGGGTGATAAACTACAATATAATACAATTAATCAAAAATAGTCTAATTATACAGTTTAAAATGTGTAATTGTTACTTATTACAATTTTTGTCTTTTAATTTGAAATCAATAACAAACTACGTTTTCTAAGTAATCTACCTAATTATTTGTTTTTTTGTTTGTCTTTTTTTCAAATCGACTGCAAAATTGCTTGTATTAAGGCTGTGAGTTTTAATTAAAGGGGTCATATGATGCGATTTCAAGTTTTCCTTTCTCTTTGGAGTGTTACAAGCAAGGAGGGGGCTTTGTAGAAAACGAAGCGTTTGAGAGAGGCGGGGCATAGAGGACCTACAATAATGTACAGTATTTGAAAAATAATGTGTTTTTTGAACATTAAAGCATGTCAACATATTTTGTTACACCAAATACACAAAATAATGATCTTTAAAAAAGCATCATATGACCCCTTTAAAATTACGATGTGCGGTTAACCAAAAAAAATACCTTATCCGTTTTTGTTTTTTCCTCTGAGAAACACCCCCAACGAAGATCATTTAAAGACATTACATAATTGTAACAGTCGAGTAAATCATGGGATAAATGCATGCTTTGACATTTTTCTTCTTTTTCCTGCAGGTTGCCAGATCTTGTTGAGGGTTGTGTGCTGGTTAATGCATAGAGGAAAAAGGGTGAAACTTGAAGACGAAACTGAAGGTAGTTGGAAAAGGTATAGGAGCGTTTTCCTGACATTACCCCATTTGTTATAGATCAGTGGGCTCTCGAATGTTAGGCTGATGAATCGCTCCTGTGTTCAGTTTTGCAGCTGTCAGAATGACCGCAGTGGATGACATCTCAGACAGCACGGAGGTTGTGGAAATGGACGACCTCCCCTCCCAGTTTTTCGTGGAGAAGCACTCATGGGATGGCTTGCGTGACATCATTCACGGCAGCCGGAAGTACTCGGGAATGATCATTAACAAGGCGCCCCATGACTTCCAGTTCGTTCAGAAGCATGACGAGTCCAGCCCTCACTCGCACCGGCTCTACTACCTTGGTACCCTTTTCCCTTCAATGTGAACACAGTCAGCCATGAGCTTGAATCAACAAATGCATCATTTCCTCATTTCATTTTTAAAATAATCATGTTTTTAAGCCTGTACATTTTTAAATGATAATGTAAAGGTTCTATGACATATAAAGTGCCCATGGTAAAGAAAATGAAAACTCTGTCTTTGAAATCCATGGCAAGTTGTTAGAAATTTAGAGTGTCGCACCACATGACATTTTACAACGTGAACCAACCATGGCTTGACAAAGTCAAATTATCTGATGTATCGACTTAGACATGAGGGCGTGCAGAGGGAATATTTATGGTATCATTTCCTGTTTTGATTTGTCCCCCTCACGTTTCTGCATGTTGGTTGGACCAGATGACTTTCTGGTCATACCACATGACCATATACACTACCGAGTCTGTACGATTTTTAAAAATGTATTTAGGAGTTATACTCGCCAAAGCTGCATTATTTGATCAAAAATACTGTTTAAAAAAAAAAAAAAAAAAAAAGGCAAATTCCGAATCTTTTCAGTTTTAATATATTTTAAAAGTGTAATTTATTTCTGTGACGGCAAAGCTTATGTATTACATGATCCTTTAGAAATCACTCTAATATTCTGATTTAGAAACATTTCTTATCAATATAGATATTTTGATGCATTCCTGCTGAAAGAAAGTTTTTTTTTTCTTTTAAAGAAACTTACTTATCCCAAACTATTAATTGGCAGTGTATCTTACAATAATAATAAGATTAGGGTGAACAACTTTCAAGAATTCAATATTTTTAGTGAGACTTTTTCCCTCCTTTATTATAATATCAAGTGATTTGTATGAGCCTGGTTTTTCTGCGTTTCTTTTCAAATTGTACCAAGTTTTTATCATTTGTAGGTTTCTCTAATTTCTGCGGTTTTCCTCATAATCAAATAGGAATGCCCTATGGGAGCAGAGAAAACTCATTATTGTACTCTGAAATCCCCAAGAAAATACGGAAAGAAGCCCTTCTGGTGTTATCATGGAAACAGATGTTAGATCACTTTCAGGTATTTTGTTCTGTTACATTAACAGCAGCAAAAACACATATATGACGGATTATAATATATTCATAGCATTATAACATTAATTATATTAATTTGTGTTCATCCTATAGGCGACTCCGCATCATGGCGTATATTCCCGTGAGGAGGAGCTTCTCCGTGAGAGGAAGCGTCTGGGGGTCTTCGGCATCACGTCCTACGACTATCACGCACAAAGCGGCCTTTTCCTCTTCCAAGCAAGCAACAGCCTTTTTTATTGCCGTGATGGCGGCCAAAACGGCTTCATTGTGAGTCTAGCTGATTTTTTTCTGCTGCGCTCTGTTTGATATTTCTGGGAAAGCTGTGTGTCCCCATGCCTGAAAGTCATGTGATGTTTAGCAGGGTGCCCCAATGAAGCCTGTGGAAATTAAGACTCAGTGCTCAGGGATTCGCATGGACCCCAAGATCTCGCCTGGTGATCCCAGTTTCATTGCCTTCATAAATAATAACGACCTGTGGGTGACGAATATCGAAACTGGAGAGGAGCGACGACTGACTTTCTGTCATAAAGGTTTGTTGATCTGTTAGTATGCAGAAGCAGTTATGGTGTTGACTATTAAGGATATATTCTAGGTTATTTTTAACTTAAAAGGTTAGTTCACCCAAAAATGAAAATTTACTGTTAATATACTAACCCTCAGACAATCCAAGATATAGGTGACGTTTTTTTCTTCAGTACGACTGTAAAGAAGATTTTTAGCTGAAACTGTGGTCCTTGCTGGATTCATAAAATGCAAGTCAGCAGCAACTGGCACTTTGAGAGTCAAAAAAGCATATACAGACAACACAAAATTAATACCCGTGGCTCCTGATGATATGTTGAGGTCTTATGAAGCAAAACAATCAGACTGTGCAAGAAACCGGACATGATTTTCACCATTATCACCAAGGACCATGGATTCAGCTAAAAAATCTTCTGCAACACAAAGACAATAAGCTGAAAATAACTGGAAATATGCCTGGAAGCTTTGTGTATATGAACATTATTCATGCCTTTATGGTTAATGGCTATACCTCACAGTCAGATTCTTATAAATGGTTTATAACATTATCGCTGTTACTACTACTCAAGAATTTTTCCAAAGAGAAAATATTGAACTTTGGAGAATAAGTAGTCTCATGGAGGTGGGTTTTGCTCATTGAAAACCCTTTTCTTTTAATGTATTTTTTTTGTTTTGTTTTTAATTACATTTTCATTTTTCCTGCCTCTTTGAGCATTGATGCAGATAGAAAACACATCAGGTTACAGTGGATTAGACTTTTCTGAAATCTAATATTTCTACTACTCTTGGACAGGATTGAATAACGTCAAGGAAGACCCGAAGTCTGCTGGTGTCGCAACCTTTGTGATCCAGGAGGAGTTTGATCGCTTCACAGGATACTGGTGGTCTCCAGCTGCTCCTGAAGGTCTGTGGGACACCTAAAGCAGTAGTTGTCAGTCTTTTTGACTTGAAGGCCCCCACTGGGATTTTTTATTTTTTTTACATTTGCCCTTTTACACTCAAAATGCATCAGCCACCTGCTGCGTACCCTTATCATCCTGTTCTTGTTTGCTTGCAGACGCAGATGGAGGCAGAACGCTCCAGCTGCTGTATGAGGAGGTTGACGAGTCAGAAGTAGAGGTTATTCATGTGCCCTCGCCAGCTTTGGAGGAGCGGAAGGCAGATGTGTACAGATATCCTCGCACCGGTAATCACAAGCACACACTGTTAAAACAACACAAACGTGTCCATATATGCAAATGAATCACCACACTGTAATATAGATAGTGTTTTAGTACAATCGTGAGCTTGCCATCTGAACTGGATGTGATGAGACTGCCTTGTGCAAAAGCCAGTAGTTCTAGACATATTGCATTTATATTGCAGTGGCCAAAACAACATGCAGTGGAAGCCAGGGCTGGCCTGGCGTTAAAATTTGGCTCTAGACAAATATGGTTTTTAAAATAAATAAGTAATAATAAAAAAAAACGTAAACATGTAGAAACTACAAAAACATCTTCTATAGAAGTAATATTCCCCAGTATTTAATATAAGTTACATTTATAATGAATACATTTCTGCCAAAACACCCTAGGCTATTTGTAGTGTTAATAACAAGATAAATTACTATGGTACTGGATTGACAAACCTATGTACTGGCGTTTTCCAATTGACCTCGTCATGCAGTATACATTGCCGTGGCTGTTTTCAGCCAGCATCACTACGGAACCTTTAATGTTCTTTTATCACACGACTGTATAACACAGAGTTTTTGTTTACATAATATACATGTGTAAACTGTATATTTCTTATGTATATTTAAATACAAACGCATGTAAATATTTAAGAAAAATATACTATGATTATATATTAAATATATTTATATATAATATAAAATATAAGAATATAAATGTATTTACATGTAAATATTTTCAAAATATATACTGTATGTGTGTGTATTTATATATACATAATAAAGATACACAGTATACAAACATATATTATATAAACAAAAAGTTTTATTTTGGATGCGATTAATCTCATGACAGCACTAATATATATATAAACTTTAAATCATATTTTATTTCAGCTAGTTGCAAAGACAAAAATTCTCTTTTTAACTGATGTACTAAAAAAAAACTAAAACTGAAATAAAAATTTATAAAAGCTTTGTAGTCATATTTAAAAATAAAAAATGACAACACAACAAAATTACTAAAACTTTAAATGAAAAAGGAGAATATAAAAATCAAAACAAATCAAAAATATTTAAAAAAAAAACTTGAATTAGTATCTCAATGTTCCATACTTAAATCTGTTTCTTCCCAGTGCTTGGGCGGTGCTGCTAGACCGCAGTCAACAGAAGCTGCAGTTAGTGCTGCTGCCGCCTGCGCTCTTCATAGCCGCGAGCGTGGAAGATCCGCAGTGGGAGGAGCATGTGGAAGCCATGCCTGAGGGAGTCCAGCCCTTCATCATCTACGAGGAGCTCACCGACATTTGGATCAATGTGAGTGTGAAGATAACAGAGCAAAGTTAAGAGCAAAAAGATGAACCGCTGAGCTACCAGCAGATGTTTGAAAGATATTAAAACCATACCGCTAATAGAGACGTGAAAGAATGTCTTCCATTAAATTTAGTGTTTTATGATAGGTTTAGTTGTACATTACCTTTTAAAGTTCGCGGTCAGTAAAATTGAAAGAAATTAATATTTCATTGACCTTATTCTCCAGCAAAACAAGCACGTCGCCATCTTTAGAAGATTGTCTCTAAACTTCCGTTTGTGCTCTGTATATTTCTATGGCATCGCTGTCTAAGAGTAATTTAGCTGGTAAAGTGGATTTATGTATTGTAAAGTTAATGAAAGTTATCGTGAGCACTGTAATGTCTTAACAAATGTCAGTAGACCAGTAAGATTTTAAAACGAGCGGTTCATTCATAAATCCGTGAGATCACTGTGGAAATGCAACCGGAAGACAGAAGACAACAAACGCAGTGCTAAAAAGGGGCGGGGCTACATGAGGTCAATATGTTTCGGGACATTTTGACTCTTTTATATTTATTTCTTGTCTTATTCCCAACAGGTCCACGATATCTTCTATCCCTTCATTCAAACAACTAATGACAAGATCTCCTTCCTGTGGGTGAACGAATCACAAACGGGCTTCTGCCATTTGTACAGAATAGCCAGTTTCTTTCAGCCGGGCTGCCATCAGTGGTCCAGAGAATACAGTCCAACGGAAGGTCAGGCGCTTGGGCTTGAACAGATTGAACGAAAACACAGTCATAACACTGTATTCAAAACTTCATAACATAACTGATCAATAGTTCATTAACATTTAAATAAAAAATAAATAAAATCTAATTTGCAATCATTTCAAATACTTCAGAATGTCATCAAGCTAGTGATTTAAACTATTATGAAGCCTGAAACTATTTATTTTAAATGTATGAACATGCTTATGTTGTGTTGACACATTAACATTAAAGGTGGGGTAAGTGATTTCTGGTAGCCAATGTTGACATTTGAAATCACCAAAACAAACACGCCCCTACCCCAAAAGGGTCTCGCCCCTATTTTGATAGCTCCGCGCCACACATGCGTATGCAACCCAGATGGAAAGCTGATCCGATCGCAGGCCTTCCGCTCCTTGAGTTCTCTCCAGCGCTGGAAAGCTGATCCGATCGCAGGCCTTCTGCTCCTCGAGTTCTCTCCAGCGCTGGAAAGCTGATCCGATCGCAGGCCTCCCCTTACTGCTGATTGGCTACAAGTTTGTTTTGCTATTCGGCCCAAATCAGTTTTCTAAAGCATTTTTTAAAAAATCGCTTACCCCACCTTTAAAAAGTGTCATTTTTGTAGTGTTTTTAACTATGGCCTCTACTTAAACATGGAGCCTTCTAACATTAATGACGACCTTTTATGTTTTATTATTTGTTCAGATGATTTCAAATGCCAGATAGAGGAGGAGGTGGCTTTAACGAATGGAGAGTGGGAAGTCTTGGCCAGACACGGCTCAAAGGTTTTATTCAATAAAGTTAAAATACAAATGTCTCCCAGAAATTCCCATGTGGTTGGTAACACTTTGCCTTCATCTTCTTTTGCAGATCTGGGTCAATGAAGAAACCAAACTGGTGTATTTCCAGGGCACAAAAGATACTCCACTTGAGCACCATCTGTATGTTGTGAGCTACGAATCTCCTGGAGAAATTGTCAGACTTACTAAGCCGGGTTTCTCTCACAGCTGCTCAGTTAGCCAGGTGTGTGTGTGTGTGAGAGAGAGACACTGTTAAGGCCTGTTCACACTAAATCCACAAAAATTGCTAATGATTTTTTTACCAAAAACCGCTGATGCTAATTTTTGTCTGGCCAAGAATCCCCTGGAAATATAACATGAAAAAATCGATAATTAATTTTACATTTTTGTGTTTTTTTTCCGAATTGCACAAACATTAGTTAACGTATCATGAATAGACGTTTTAAATAATTAATAATGCTGTAATTGATTAATAATAAATGTGGTTATTGAAAGACATACACGGGACTACATTTTACAGTGCCGTTGCAGCATTTATGCTAACAATCTAAAGTTTGGAGTCATTTTTGTTTTTGTAAGAATTCTCTTGTGCTGATCAAGGCTGCATTTAGTTGATCAAAAAGTAAAAAAAAAAAAAAAGTATAGTAAAAAAAATACAGCAAATACAAAATACTGTAATATTTTGGAGTATTACAATTTAAATTGTAATTAAATTGCATTATTTCAAAATGTAACTTCCTGTTATAAAGTTAAATTTTTTAGCAGCCATTTGCGATCAATTTAATGCATCCTTACGGAGTTATTTTTTTAGCCCAAACTTAATGGTTTCCCCCCCTCCCCAACACACAAAATTATTAAACGGCAAAAAACATTTTCAACATTAATAATAATAAGAAATGATTCTTGATCATGAAATCAGCATATTAGAATGATTTCTCTGCCGTTAAAGGAATACATAAAATACCGTCATGTACCGTGAAACCGGTATAATTTTGAAAAATACCGTGATATAAATTTTTGGTCATACCGCCCAGCACTACATAGATTACAGTATGACTGTTTTCTACTGTGTTTTTCATCAAATAAATGCAGCCTTGGTGAGCATAAGAGACTTCCTTCAAAAGCATTAAAAATCCTAATTATTCCAAATCTTTGACAAGTAGTGTATACTACAAGAACTGTGTGAACAAATGCAGGAGCTTTCAGTCTAATGCCCAAGGGCAAAAAGGCTTAATAAACTTTACTTTACAACATCTTCACGCAAACCAAGCAGTGTTTCATGACAGGCCTTTGCAGTCATCACTCTTTGCATTTGTCAGCATTGATATGATTTGCATGCTGTCTCTGACTATCTGCTTCTCCTGTTTCATTGCAGAACTTTGACATGTTCATTAGCCACTACAGTAACGTGAGCACGCCTCCGTGTGTTCACGTCTACAGACTGACGGGTTCTGACAGTGACCCCCTCCACAAAGAACCGGAGTTCTGGGCGAGCATGATGGAGGCTACAGGTGAGCTCAGGGTGATGTTACACAGAAATGGGAAACAATAACAGATGCTGTAATAACATGTTTGCTCGTGCTGTGCAGGTTGCCCGGCTGATTATGTCCCTCCTGAGATATTCAGCTTCCCTGCTAGTTCCGGTTTCCGTCTCTATGGAATGCTGTACAAACCTCACAACCTGAAACCAGGCAAAAAACATCCCACAATCCTGTTTGTGTACGGCGGCCCACAGGTGGGTTCGGTTGAAAAGTGTCCCTATAGCGTCCTGAAAAATGCCCATAATTAATAGTTTCACCTAAAATGAAAGTTCTTGTTGTTAAGGCCTGTTCACACCAAATCAGAGGTGACAAATTGGCATTAAAACACACTTTTTTTTTTTTGCAAAAAGTAATTTTTGGCTGGCGAAGAATCCCTTGGAAATATAACATGAAGAAATTCATTAATAACTTTACATTTTCTTTCTATCATACCCAGAATTTCAGCTTTGGATTTATAATTTCATTTGATTGCATAATTGGCTTGTATCTTACTGGTTGCATGGATTCTTTCGCACGTTTGTGCTTTTAACATGTTTTGATTTTTCTTGTTTTTTAGGTGCAGTTAGTGAATAACTCTTACAAGGGTGTGAAGTATCTGCGTCTGAACACGTTGGCGTCTCTGGGTTATGCTGTGGTGGTCATTGACGGAAGAGGGTCATGCCAAAGAGGCCTCAAGTTTGAGGGGGCCCTTAAAAACAAAATGGTAACTAGAACAGACATTTGACAAGTCTGGTCAACATTGCAACAAATCTTGGCAAAAAAAACGGAACACTTAATAGTCAGTTTGTCTGACATATTTGAGAATAAACTGGGATTGGTTTTTGCACGTCTTTACACAGCTGCTGTGCCTGCTCAAAATTAAGCGTAAAGACCCACGCGCTCTGGCCTACCTCAGCCCTAGTATCATAGTTGTAATTCTGCATTTATTCCACCTCTCACCAACATTAAAGACTCTCCTAAATTCAGAAGCACTTCTATGCCACATTTGCAGTAGAAGTCACACAGATTGGAGCTGGAGCAGTGTGCATCACATGGCCCATGATCTGTTGAGTGTGAGCGCTGTCTGAAACTGACGTTGTAAACAGTCTCACATTTAACACATTATCACCTGTTTTTGATAATGTGTCAGCCAGTGTGATTCGAAAACAGGTTGCATAAATGCTTTATATAGACGCAAATATGATCATGCTGCAATTGAAGTTGTCCAAATGATCGGTCGTGAAATGTTAAGGTGTTAAAATGATTACCGAGTGACGGCTCACGCTGAGGTTGACACATGATCCCACATATAACTCTCAGTCAGAGACTGAATTAGACGCCTCCAGTTCTGTCCAACTCATATTCGTATCACTGCTTATTGAAGGTCACTTAGGTGTGATATAAAGTCAGTTTGTGTAATAACATTGGCACATGACTACTGCTTAATTTGATGACATTTTACAAATGATGTAAATGATTATTAAAGGAACTTTTTTATGATTTGTCTTGAATAGGGGTGGGCGATATAGCCTCAAAATTATATGACGAGAAGAATATTATTTCAAGAATATTTGCGATAACGATATTTATGACGATATAGAAAAACAAACATGGAACAACGTTTTATTGGTGATTGCAGCTGGCAGTGCTTGTGTTTACACCAGCGGAGCCGTGGCACGTTTCAGAAGCGTACCAGAAGCGGCTCGCCGCGCTGCTTCGCTAAAGATATGCACCTCGCCTATTTTTGAAGGTAAGAGTGTGCGCTCGAATATGATCTAGGACCGCTCTCGCGATACTTTGATGTCATACACCGATCAGTCTGCGCAGCGCTGCTTCAAGTCGAACACACCTATTGGGTTTGTGGTGTTGTTGGTGTGCATGCTAAGGAACGTATATCCGCCATACGTCATCGCATCGCTATATCATTGATATCGCCTTATGACACTTTTTTTATCATGTAAAAATGTATACCGGTATTATCGTGGACTGTATGATATGGCACTCCCCTAGTCTTGAACCAGTAATGTAGTGGCTAGTTTGTTCTGGATAGATACTAGGTGGTTGCTTGCTGGCAATGACCGTATATATGCCGTTTTTCAAAAGTTTGGTGGCAGTAAGACTTTATTTCTTTTTAGAGAATTAATACTTTTATCCAGCAAGTATGCTTTAAATTGAGCAAAAGTGACAGTATGCACATTTAGAAGGTTACAGAAGAGTTCTATTTTAAATAAATACTGTTCTTTTTTAACTTCATATTTAGCAACGAATCCTAAAAATTAAATCCTAAACATAATGTCAGCATATAAGACTGATTTCTGAAGGATCACGTGCCACTGAAAATTCAACTTTGCCATCACTGGAATCGATAACATTTTTTTATTTTTTTATTTCAGCAGTGTATGTAGTAGGCCTGGGCGATAAAACGGTATCAATATTTATCGACGGTATTCCTTCATCGATAACAAAAGAAAAAAATGATCGATATAGCACACAATATAGGCATATGCTATGAGTGACACAAACACGAACATGAGTGCTGTGCCTGTCTGTGATGAGGAGATTGTGAATAAAAAAATGTATATTAGTCGAATTTAAAATTGAAAAAATTGCATTTGAATGCAAAAATAGTACAGTCGAATGTTAGGTGTGCGTCAGGAAGCGTCATCAGTGGAGCACGAGATGTGGTGATGTTTGTGTGGTAGTTTAATGTTTTGTTAGTCTAGCCCATGAGACGCGCCACTGCTGCGTTATTCATTCAAAATATTAGAGAAATATAGTAGCTCAATGCGGAGAAGATCTTGATAAAGGTTAAAACTGAAACCAAGCCATTCACACAGAACGCATATTCAGCGCATTTTCTAGACGGACAAGTACGACTGCTGCACTCGCGTCTCACACAAGAGATTATAAGCCATGCAAAGTTAAAACAGTTTAAGCGTTTATAGAAATCACATCGCGAATTTGTGGAGGTTTATTCCTTTTCACTGCGTCTCATATGTTTTCAAATGCAATCTGTGTGATGGGCGATTCGGCTCTTTTTTTTATTTATGCAATGCATAAATACATGAGGCTGTTTTGTTCATGTTTATGCAATTTATGAAATTATATTTGATTTATATATATATTCATTTAGACGTTATGCGCGTTTTTTATGGACAGTTATTTCATTACATTGACAATTTAATACGCTGCATTGTTTTGCTCATTGCGCCCTCCTGTGACCTCGGGAGACAAGCCAAAAGTTTCCTTAAGACCCATTTAATCTGCATATAACACATAAGAAAGGAGATATTTGTTTCAATTTTATTTTGTGTTTGACTGTTAAAACAAAAACAAAAAAATGTTGTTTGTCAATAAATTGGGTAAATTAAAAACACAGTGGTTAAATTTAAACTTTTTTCTATTGCGTTTTGTTTTTAAAAAGGTTATAAAAAATGTCAATAATTATGGATACCGAACGATATGAAACATTATATCATTGATAAATTTTTTAGCTGTATCGCCCAGGCCTTAGTATGTAGGTTTTGAGATTGGTATCTTTAAATGAAGCATTCAAACTGCCTTGAGTATTTCACATGGTTGAAGTTTAAGATCATTGAATAAGGTACTCTTCTCTTTATATTGCTATTCTTTCCTCCTCTACCTCAGGGGCAGGTGGAGATTGAAGATCAGGTGGAGGGACTTCAGTATGTAGCAGAGAAGTACAAGTTCATAGACACGAGTCGAGTTGCCATCCATGGTTGGTCTTATGGTGGCTTCCTGTCTCTCATGGGCCTCATTCACAGGCCAAACATCTTCAAGGTGAGATTTACAGCTGCCCCGAAAATAACAATTCTTGTTTTCAGTTTTTCTCGACTATCCCTCAACCCCACCCATGCATGGTGATAAAACCTGCTTTAACCAGCAGGTGGCGTCTCAAATGCACCTTACCAGAGATCGAATTGCTGAACTTCGTTGATTTGCTAAAATAGTAGTAACAGTCAATCAAAGGTTTTTTATACTTTTGGAATTACCAAAATAGAAGTGACAGCTGCATTTTGGATATAAGCGACAAACTTTTTTTTAAACTTCGAGACTAAAATCAGTAGCTGTAGATTTATTCTCATCTTGTGTTAAGCAAGTTAGCCATTCTATGCTCCAGGTGGCCATAGCAGGAGCTCCTGTGACGGTGTGGATGGCATACGATACGGGCTACACCGAACGCTACATGGACGTGCCTGAAAATAACCAGCAGGGGTATGAGGCGGGCTCCGTCGCCCTGCACGTCGACAAGCTTCCCAACGAGTGAGTTACCAGAGGACAAACAATGCGTGCTTCCCCCTGATTATGTGTTCTTGGCATACAACTTCATTTAGTGAATTTCTCCTTGCCTTTGGATTATATTCAACCCTGTGAAGCCTGACTTTAATAGTCATAAAAAATCTAATTTTATTAGATTTATTAGTTTATTGAACCTATTATTAAAAAAAAAAAGCATATGTGTTTTTTGTTGAGTATCATATTTGATACATCAGGCTCATATAGTATGAGAATATGGAGTTCGTATTTGGGATGAAGCACCTCAGTTTTATTTGGATGCCCAAACTGAGAAAAAACATGCAGTTTGGTGCAGATGTTATTCATATGGCCAAAAATTAAGATGAAATTCAGATTGTAAATCGATCGATTCTAATTGTAAATTTGTAAATCAAGGAAATCTTTATAGCGGCTCTAAACTAGTTGACAGTTTAGAGGCCTTAAGACATTTTCAATATTAAATATGATAGAATAGGCTATATAGGGTTAAGAGACCCACCCTTTTGAATCGAAGTATATTACGTTCTTAAGTTCAATAGAACCATATAGATAACTCCTCCCAGAATGCATTATTAGAGCATTCTTACTAGTATTTTCTATGTGATAACTAGTTTTTATTTTTTTCTCCAAGGCCAAACCGATTACTTATTTTACATGGGTTCCTTGATGAAAACGTGCACTTTTTCCACACCAACTTCCTGGTGTCTCAACTCATCCGTGCAGGAAAGCCATATCAGCTACAGGTTTGAAAACTGAGAATTAAAAATATAAGTTTGTAATTTTGGTAACACTTTCCTCATGTATAATGCATTATAAAAGTAGTTTTAATGCATTGATTATCCCTTGTAATGCACCTTATAATGCATTGTACAATCTCATGAATAATTGTAACCACAGTTAATACATTATAATTTATCAATTCGTTGTTACACTATGCATTTTAAATGTGGTTATAATTATTTACAAGATTACACATTCTTAATAATGATTATGCATAAAGGTTTTAAGTAAAATGTCACCCCCTCAACCACATGATTCATTTGTGTTCTCTGTAGATCTACCCCAATGAGAGGCACAGCATCCGCTGTCCTGAGTCCGGAGAGCACTACGAGATCATGCTACTGTACTTCCTCCAGCAGCACCTCTGATGAGCGCCTTCTCTATTCCCAGCCTCCTCTACTTCCTTCAGCAGCAGTGACAGAATACGGCCCTCCCCGGTTCCCCAACCCGCCTTTGCTTTCTCGCACTCTTTCTGGAAGGAGTGTCTTCGCAGCAGCCAGAAACAGACTTGTCCCCAAACTTCATGTAATTTTGCGCATGTCTGCACACTTTTAACAGAAAGGACACATCCGAGAACGGAGAAGAACCCAGTAGCTCATTAACCCCATGAAACAAATTTTGGATTATGTGCCACATCTAGATAATGTTTCCTTTCCGGCTCCCTTTGAAACACTGATTATGATAATTGCCAAACGTGTCTTTATTTTTAAAATTTGTAGTTAGTGGCTTATCAGAATACAGAGACTGGATTTGTACACGTACGTACAGAAATGCTCTTTCCGCCCCCTCTGCTCATTTATCTTAAAGGGATAGTTCACCCAAAAATGAAAATGCTGTCATTAATTACTCACTCTCATGTCGTTTCAAACCCGTAAGACCTTCGTTCATCTTCAAAACACAAATTAAGATATTTTTGATGAAATCCTAGAGCTTTCTGACCCTGCATAGACAGCAAGGCAACTGAAATGTTCCCAAGTCCAGAAAC